CTATCACCTTCCATTTTATAGATTAGAAAACTAATTCCAGACGGATTAAATGTCAGTACTTTTCCAAGGCTGCACAGATTGAAAGGAGCAGAGTAGGACTTCAATCCATGTCCCGCTCCTATGCTCAGTGCCTGAATACACTCTCCTAAGGAAGAGAATTTAGTGTGGTTTCCCTGAAGAAATTTATTGAAGCTTGAAACAGCATTAATGTATGTATTTTTATTTATTTGGGTACTCCTTTAATAAAATACATGAAAGCAAATGTTTTTTCTCTTTAAGAATGAAGATGGATTGAAAATAAAATCAAAACATCTCTAAAGGTAATGCAGTGGGACCCTGGTAGGGCCTTGCAGGGAGGGGTAGGATATTAGGAAAAAACTAGTGAGATTCATATAAAGTGTGAAGTTTAGTTACCAGTAATGTACCAATAGTAACATAAGATGGGAACAGTAAGGGATGAGGGTAAAGGTTATATAGGGACTCTATACTATCTTTTCAACTTTTCTCCAAATCTAAAACCATTCTAAAAAAGAAACATTACTTAATCAAAAAATAAAATATCAGTCTGATGATCCCCCGCTTAGTGTAGTAGTTGCAAACTAACCAGTCCTCTAGAGCAATGCCTTCTCTTTGGCGTCCTCCCTCTGCTCCTTAGACGCGGAAGCATCTTTCGCGTCACCCAGGGCTTCTGTGCCCATTTGTTCTGAGGCTTCTCTCGCGGCCAGCCCAGGCATATTCATGCGGAGCCACTCTCTGTAAGCTGACTATCCATGTGCTCAGCATCACCTCCTTGCCCTTTTTTTCCCCCAGGCCATTGAGGGCTTAAATTCCTTGACTTGATACCTTCCAAATAAACATTATCACATCAACTTTGTTCTGCTGAATCTTCATGCAGGGATTCTAAATCAAGTACTGATGTCTGCATGTTGGATTTGACCCTCCTGGCTGGGTTCTCATTCTGCCTTTACAGAAGCTGGACATCTGAAGCCTGGAGACCCAGACAGCAAAAGAGTCCTGTTGAAGGCAAGCCCTGCAGAGATTCGTTGGCCCCATATGTGCAGCATCCCGCTGTTTTTGATCTCTTAGGATTGTTACAAAGATCTGAAGATCTAACTCAGTCTGTGCCATACTGCGGATAGTTTCCCATGGAAGATGGTCTAGCCAGCTGACTGAGGAATCAACACAATAAGCATCAATTCAAGAATCAGTTCATTGCAGAAGTGTGAGAACAACTTTGAGTTAGGGGATCAGGGTTATCATCATACAGTTCCAATGATACTGCCTCCTAAATATTTCTCAAATGTGTCCCCTCATGTATCCCTCAGAGTCCAAACCAGGAAGCGAAAAATCTCTTCAAATATTTGAAAGAGGTTTTTGAAAAAAGAATCGGTCATACAGGTGATAGATGAGAAGCCAAACAGGGACGGGGCAGCATCTCAGAATTTAGCAGGAAAGCCCAGCCAACCCTGGGCTTGAAGGACAGAAGCAGGAAGCAGGCTTCCTAGAGCCCAGGGCGGGATCCCTGGGCAGAAGCCAGATCTGTGGCCTGTGTGCACGTGCCAGGGAGGAGACCTATAGAGAAAGGGTCAAATGCACTGGATTTTTCTTCCTGCTTCCCAATCACCTACTAGTCACTACCATTGGTCCAAACTAATTAAAAACCAGCCGACAGGGAAGCGCAGGACACGTAGCACAGAAAAGTTAGCCTTCCCTCCACACAGCAGACCCTGCTGCTGCTTAGACTGAGCACCTCTTGTCTCTTCCATGCACCATTACAGAATCCTCGAAACCCTTCTCTCGAGCCAGCAGTCTTGGTCTCCCTCCAACTGAGCCTCTAAATTTAAGCTAGTAATATTGCTAATATATATATATTAACCCTTAGATGACTCCCTTGGGTTAAGCCCAAGCTTTTCAGCATGGTGACAAGTCCTTGCTGACTCCTGTCCTCCTTTCTAACCTCCTTTTCTATAACTTACCACCTGGCCCAGCTTCAGTGTACTGAAGACTACAGCGTGGTATCAACACCAAATGCAAGTGCTTCTTCCTTTGTGGACCTCAGAAGAGCATCTCTGGCGCAGGCATCAGGGTTGTCAGGGAGAGAGGGAATAGCAAGAAAAGCAGTCATAGGTGGCCTTTCAGCTGACTTCTGGAGCCACCATGAGGGGCCTGGAGAATAGGAGAGGATTTCTAGTGACAGCACATGAGAGTGTGGAAGGCACTCTGTCAAGGCTCCTGGAAACCAGGGGGAGGAGAGACGGGCCATGAAGTGGTCGGGTGACAGCCTCACAAGGTGGCGAGATCTGAGAGATTCTTAATGGAATCTGTCAGGTCAGTTACGTTTGCAGAAACAGATTTTGTTTGATAGTAGAATTTAATGTCCAGATATGTTTTTCAGGCTATTATTCCTAAAATGAGTCCATCAGTCAAAAGATACCTAGCAGACTGAACGAGTGTGAAGAGCTCATTTCTGGTAGGTGCTAGAGGCTGTTTTTCTGTCATCATATTTATCTGTCATCAGGAGCTTGATAAAAATGAAGGAGGAAATTAACATACATGAGCCTCTTATGGAATAATCAAGTTCTTGAAGACATGTTGAGTACAAATAGAAGGTAGAAAGTATGAATTTGGGACATCAGAAAAAGTTTCAATGAAATGTCTATAACTTCCAGATTTTTAAAAATATTTTTATCATACCATACATACATATGAATCTTTGAATTCCCTTCAGTCTTATTGTAATGTGAACCTCTCTTACCAAGAAGTTCAAAGGTAATGTGACTCTTCAACATCAAGGAAATCAAACGTTTATTGAGCTAACTTAATGTGCCAAGCATTGAGCTGGACAGATTACCTATTCCATCTTATCCTGATTTTCCTATAACAGATGAGGGAAATGAGGCTCAGAGAGCTTAGTGACTTGCCCAAGACTGCACAACAAATGGAGGTGTTGCTTTTAAACTAGGTCTCCTACTACCCCATGATTGTCATCTATCAGTAAGCAGCCCTCATGATGGAGATGCAACAAAGAATAACTTCGTTTTGAATTCAGCTTTCTCACTAAGAACATTAAATAATATTTGGATATAATTCCAAACAGAATCACTCCAAAAATCCTACATAGAGATGTCTAAAAAGTGTGCAATTCATTTTGATGATTTATTTTCCTATTGAATCATAAAGACCATTCACCTCTCATCTCTCAAAATCCAGGCATACCCATGGCATCCTTGATCTGTTCAGCCTTTGGACTTAATATGTTTATTATCTTTACATTCTGAGTCTTCAGATGTTGATTAATACCACTGTTTCATGTTGGGGGAAGTCCTCAGAAAGAGATTCTGAGATGGAGGTAAGTGTAGAGGGCCTTTGTTAGGAAGTACTCTTGGGAATCAGCTCTGTGGAAGAGGGATCAAGGAAGCAGAATCTGGCAGAGAAAAAGTTGAGCTGTAGTATAATATGAACAAGGGACTGGCCAAAGCTTACTGGGAGCTCTGGAGCTGTGCTGGCCCTCAGATTCTGAGCTGGGGAAATGGAGGCTCTCCATGTTGATCAGTTCCTAGGTGTGGATGATCAGTTCTGCAGGGAGGCATAACCGTGGGGGAAGTGTTTTTATTCAGATGAGAGAATCCCAAAGCAGGACTTCACTCTGAGGGCTGCTTTCTTGCAGCACCCTCAGCTGCTGGGGGAATAAGTCCTTCATTCCTGCAGGGGATTTCGGTGGTACATCACAACATTCACCACGCTGATCGATGCAATTATTAATAGCTCTGTGTAGATTCAACCAGTCAGTGGAATATGCAATACATGGTAAAATACATAAATGTGTACAATATATAAACAAATATTTATATATTCATAAAATATATTTTTATAGACAAACGGTAGAGGCAGTAACTACCTGGATCACAGTGAAAGCTGGACTTAAAAGAATTAATACATTGAGCATTGTAGTGCCTACAAATTGAAAACACGGGGCACCTGTATCTGGCTTAAGAGGGAGCAGAAACACAGGAATTCTCAAGGCTCCCAGGCCTCTTACTGCCGTGGGATGTTGTAATTCCTGGGGGAAAATATGTCACCAGCCCCAGGACAAAATAAACCTGTGAAGCCAAAATAAGTCAAGGGGAAAAAAATAAAGTGGGAGAAACCTGTTTACTGCTTACAAGAAGCCTGGCTCTACTCTCTGGCCTCCACTCCCGCTCACCTGTTTCTCTCCCCATCCTGACTGAACTAAGAACAGCTTCTCCCCACCCCTTGTAAATATCTATTGATATAGAGATGCACTAAGGCCAGGCGAGTGATTCTGGAAATACTGTAATTTTACCCACAGATATATTGTTGCTACGCCAGTAATGAGAAGACAGTGGGCTGTCGAGCAATTTGGTTTTATATATTTGCTGATTCTAAAGACTAGGAATTAATAAAGGAAACAGAAAAAAATATAAAATCAACATATGGTTGAGACTTTTTTTCTTTAATAAATATTCATTCCTCAGAAATTGGCATTGGCCCTGCCTCTATTTACTTAGTCAACTTCTTCCTATTTTAGCCATTCCCATCAACTAATAATTATATTCCAGAAGTCTGAGAAAGCAAATATCTAACTACAGACAATAACTGTAAAGAATCCCCATACACATTTGTGGCCAGATTAGTGCAGGTAAACTGCTCCAAGGCTGAAGTACAGAACTGGTGTCATGCACACTGAATTTTTTAAGAATTGAGACCTGGCTTTTTAGGACAATTCCAGCTAGTCTAATTATTATAGCTATGGAATAGCAGGCAATTGGCTTTTCTTCTTTTTTCTTCTTAATTTTCTCTAAATAATGTCATAATTTAGAAGGCTGACTCTTTCATATTTCTTTTTATCCTCTGCAAAGCCATCACTCGGGAGAGTGCCCAAATTCATTTCTCTCACTGTGCTTTAACGTGTTAAACCTCAAGGTGAAACGGAGAAGAGGCCCAGTATTCTTATATCTTTTAGATTTGGAGCTGCGATGCTTCTGCGATTCAACCACGCTGTCTCCTTCCCTCAGCCCATCCCTGCCCCTGACTCACAATCTGAATCAAGAATTCTGAGGATTTCTGTGGCTCCCTGAAGCACAGTCCCTACTAGCTGGTGCCCAGAGGGTATGTGTAACATGCTCACAATGATTGAAAGGGCAAGTGGCTTCAATTTGTTCAGGTGGCACTGCAGTGTATGTTGTGCATGCCTAGAATGAGCTGAGCTGTGCTTTGAATTAGGAAATACGGCTGCCCAAGGCCATCTGAAAGCTGCTGGCCCTCCTAAAATGACAATCACCTTTCTTGTTGATATTTTTCTTCCGTTAGTCCTTTCGGGCAATAAGAGGTTCAATTTAGCTCTTATCTATTCTAGCAAATCTTTGTCACACCCAAAAGATGTGGATAAGCAAATATTTTTAAAAATAATTTTATCTCTTCATTCATTCGTTCAATCATTTGCTCATTCATTTATTCTGAAGCAACAATTTTGTTTTGTGGCCAGAGAGTGCAGGCAACTGCTTCAAGGATGAAGTACGGAACTGATGTTATGCATGCTGAATTTTTTGAGAATTTAGACCTGGCTATTTAAGGTAATTGTCTAATTATTACAGCAATGGAATAGCAGGCAATTGGCTTTTCTTCTACCTTCTTAATTTTCTCTAAACAATGTCATAATTCAGAAGCCTGACTCTTTCTTGATTCTTTTTATCCTCTGCAAAGCCATCACTCAGGAGAGTGCCCTAATTCATTTCTCTCAATGAAGTTTTAACCTGTTAAACCTCATCTTGCTCTAATTCCCTTAGAGGGAATTGCAATTTTATTCCATTTTTCTTATTTATGTCATTGTTGCATATTGGGAACAGACTTTATCTCAACCCCTGAAATTTTTACAGGGTGTCTGTTTTTCTAGCAGTTCACATCTAAATGTCAATAGATTCAGTTCCCTTGGTTTGTTTTGTGGCCCGGAGCAAGTCAAACTCCAGGAACCTCAACTTCTCCATTTGCAAAATGGGATAGTAATATTTACCTCCCACACACCAGGTGTTGTGAGAATTAAAAAGATAATGTTTGCGAAGTGTTTTGAAGAAACACTGGAGCCTTTCATCTAAGGAAGAAGCTCAGAGTGTTATTATGTTTGTTGTTACAGATGATTATGTTCCCACATGGCTTTATTTTTATGGTGCACTTCTTAACTGCAGAAGAGTTGAATCACAGAAATGAGAGAGGGTAAAGATTTAGCTCTAGTTCTAACATGTAGAATTCTTCTCCTGCAACATGCTGTTTGTACTTCAGTCCTTCTATTTTTAAGTGCAAAAGCATCAAGCATTACATGGTCCATTTCTTCCTGCTTGATGGCAGAACTAAAGAACAATTCCAATAGCAATACTTTTGATCTAAGTATTTTCTTAATGACCTCATTGGAACAACTCTTTGAGTCTCTGCCAGGGGGATATTTTTGTCCAGTGTGAGGGTTACAATTATTTTCAGGGCCCTTTTACTACTTTCCTGGGGAAATGGAGTCACAATCCATTAGCTCCCCTCCTGATGATGTGCTTTACAATGTTCATCCCAAATGTTCAATTTAGGAATTTCCTAACCGTTGGTTTATGGAGCAGACCAAATCTTGTTCAGAGGTAGCTCATTTCAAACACAGTTAAACTGCTTTAAATTCAGTCCCAGAAGACTAACTTAGAAGAATGTGCTAACTTCAGTCTTGTGAGCTATATGTATTTGCTTTTGGCAGGTCTATAATCTATCACCGAAGCTTAGAGAGATTCTAACATGTGATAGTATATAAATATTGATTGAATGGTTAAATGAATCAGTTGTATTATAAAGCTAATTCATTATAACTTAATTCAGTGGGGTAATCATAGTCCTTTTGGTCTTTTTAGATTTATATATGTAATATTTGTGCATCATTTATGTGGTATATAATAAAATAACATGTATAATATGTTATTATATAATGTATATATAAGTAGGCTATCTGAGAAATTTTCATAGAGAAAATTGAAATCCATTTTATTCTTTTTTTCATTTAGTCTCTAGGCTGAGAACTCCAAGTGGTAAGAGACAGTAAGTAAGATAAGGATGGAGGGACAGCTGTTTTGGGAGTCTACTCTTCTGCTGAATGCCATTTTGAAGGGAAAAAAGAAGTTGAATGTTAGAGAGAAAGAGAGAGAGAGAGAGAGAGAGAGAGAGAGAGATGTATATAGACATAAATGTATATACACAACACACACACACACACATGTATAGAGACAGACAGTCATCAATATATTATTTGGGAACACCATTTACAATATCACTGGTATTCTGACAGAGGGCCCATCTAGAATGATATAGAGACTTTTGAAAAATGTGGGTCATTTACTATGTATTAGGAGCTGAGAATATGTTGGTAACCCAAACAAACATATTTCTCTTCTTGTAGTGTTTTACTGACTACTTGAGCCAATGAGAATTGGTCATGAAGATACAATGATTCCTTTTCCTGTCTGGCAATTGTTTTCCCATCTTTTGCTATAGAGGGTAAGATCTAAGACTAAATCAATACCCCAAGTAATTTTTACCTTTTCTTCTACTTACGATAGTTTAATTAAACCAACCATCTCCATTAAACCAACCCACTGACTGAAACCAAGCTACTATTTTATGTTCTAATGATTGTTGTTTTGAATGTAATTGTGGTGCCCATTCATAATCAGGTTCATAGGTTTAAGTGGAAAGATATTTTTCATCAGTCCCTGAATTTCCCAAATCCAAGGATTTAAGCAATAATTAGGCTTCCTTAATAAAGAATAGAAGGATATGACTTTTAAGAAAGAAACCCATTATAATCCAAGCAGTCAAAAAACTCAAATAAATCTTAAAAGCTATAAAAATATAGATGATCTCCCATGTGAGGTATATGGGAAATTAAGAAACAACTTCATTTAAAATTGCTCAAGTTATTATCTGTTGAAATTGGATCAGAAAGCTTGTGACATTTGAAATATTTTTATGTGGCATATTTCCAAATAGTGAAGTCCCTGCTGATCAACTTTTTGGATGCTTTGCTCTTTAATCCCTTTTGCCCCGCAATGTAGTAGTAGCTGGATAGTGAGGTAGGTGGTGATAATTAGCTTGCTGAGTCAGTGGGAAGTAGCCCTGTAATACTGAGTAATTATTTCTTTGATGTTTGGTGTGGTTAACATGCCTAAGATTCTTAACTCAGGACTATCTGGGTGCCAGATCTGGGAAGAACAAGTGAAATCACTTTTATACATTGTGTAGGTCATGATGTAGCAAATCTCAGAGTCTAGATCATGCCATTCTTTTCTTCACCATTTTTTTTTTTAAAACTTTACACACCAATTAGTTTAGGCACTTAATTTGTAAAGTCCTGGCCTTGGCATACCAAGCAAAATGATATCATTATAAATCTGTGAATCACCTTACCTGCTAAGATCTTTGTTCCAGATAACTATGGAACAAAAATCTGGACAAAAATATAAATGTACAATGACACTACCATTTTGGAAAAAAAATGTATTTTAGTGTCCTTAGCTGTATAATGCTGATGTGTCAGTAATGGATTTAAATTAGGGGATACCAGATATTCCCTGACATGAGCCTCATCATGCTTTCAGTTTCCATGCAAGAGATTCCTGGTAGGTCAAGCTCAGAGGGTGACTAAGGAAAATACAGAAACTGCAATTGAAAGCTGTTAATTTGTTTCTCTCTATAATCACCTGTTTATTACCATGAATTTTGGTGCAATAGAAAAATTATTACTTCTGTGCAGGTTTCAGCAGTTTAAAATAGGAAGAATTTTGTTTGAGACTTTGAGGATCTAACACTTTGCATTTCTTTCCTGTCCTTAGCTGCTTTCTTCCAAATCCTGCTGCCCTTGATGCTTGAGAGAACAGCAATAAGTTGGGGTTTGGAGAGGCCATGAGGGCCCCTGTTTTCTTAGTCTCCTTTACAGTTTCAGCAGCAGATTGGTAAGAGGAAGTATTCATCACAGTAAGATACAATGGGAAGAATGGATTCATACCATTAGGTGAATATTACAAAACAATACAATGATAACATCCCAATGTCATCATCACATGAGTTTTGTGCCTTTCATGTTAATTATAATTGCTAGGATTCAAATTCAGGTTAAGGCACTTTTTTTTTCACCTCTACCATTGATACTATGAATTTTGTTTTTTATAAAAATAACCAAAATTATTTTTATATGTCTTTATATGTCTTTTCCCAAAGACAGCTGAATGGGATTTCCTTGTCTTTCTCTAGGACTTAGCCTAGTTTGCAATGGCTGGGTGCAGCTGACTTTCATGAAAGGGAAGTTTCCATCTTGTATGGACTCGGCAGGTGGACTGATGAACAGCCACCCTTGTATTCCACAGGCTGAGCTCATTCTCCTGACTTAGCTAATATTTACCTAAACTTCTCTCTACCTCTTCCTCCTCAGAGTTTTGTTTTGCTTGTTTTCCAACCTGGATGCTTTCACCTACAACTCAACTTCCTTAGAATTATTCTTGGCTCATCTTGTGCATTTTTCATTTCCACAATGACTACATTTCTCAACTTGTGTACTTCTCTTTGTTCTATAACAAGACCTTCAGCACTGCTCTCCTGCTCTTCCCAGGATGCCCCTTGAATTGGTGGGCTTCCCACCTATATAAGGCAGTGTGTTTCTTTAGCTAGTGTCTTGGCTTATCGGCCTTTTATATTTCCTCAACACATTGTATATAGCTCAGCCTTATTTGATTTATCGCCAGCATATCAGCTCCCCCAAAACTTCACCTTTCCATTTGCTTCTATGGATGTGACTATCCTTCAGGAGAAACTGATTTTTATTTCCAATAAAGAAGCAATATTTGAAGACTTTCATGAAAGGAACTTAGACTATCTCACAAACATTACCATCTTCATCTTTCCTGTTTTCTCTATTAAAAAACAGGTGTAAAACAAGCATGTGATTTTGAATTAAAAAGTTGTAGTAAATTTAGGCCAATTGCTTACATCTGGTGATTAGACAGAAATCTTGAGAGCTGCTTTAAGTCTTTTCTTAAAACAAGAGTTAGTATGTCTTCCTATTCCCTACTCTTCTATCTTTTGGAGGAACTATTCCTATAACATAATTACATTGCATTGATTCATTTCAACAATACATGTACAATACTTAATATATGCAAGGTGCTCTAAGTCTAAGATATGCGAGACATAGAAGAATGGTCTTTGTTTTTGAGGAAGTGGGGAGGTAGTCACAAACAGGCAGACTATTATAAGTGCTATGCAGAAAAGCCATGAGAGATTTATTCTGACTTACATTGGTGTGGAGTACTTCATGGAGGAGGCAACATTAGACTGGAACCATACAGAAAGGGAATAGGCAGAAATGGGATTTCTGCTTCCTGAGAAAACACTCTGAACCATTGTCTCTCGATTTCTGGACCACCATGATTTCAGTGTTGCTTTTCAACTCTAATATAATTTCTAAAGAGTCCACCTTGCAAATCAAGAATATGCCTTTTCTAGGAGCCACCTGAGTGTGGATAACTCTGTGTATTATGTAATTGAAAGTAAATATAATATCAGCCTTGAAAGAAATGAGTTTAAAGATGATAATAATGAAATGATAGAAACTCTTCCAGCCTAGAAATTGCAATGAAAATAATAAACGAAAATGAGAGAATTTAGGAAAATATTTACTGGGTTTTGAAGTGGTGTGTGTGTGCTTTACTGAGAAGCATATTGTAAAACTTCTTCACAATGACCTATTTCCCAATCTTGTGATTAGCCTCCTGGGACAGTCACATGGGCCACTTCCTTTAAATCAGCATTAGAGATGAGTATTTCAGATAGACCACCTCCAGGTGATAATTGCTTTTCTCAGGAGACAGTCACATGTGCCAGGTCCTCTGGGAGGAAATGTATGAATTGCCTATTGTGCCTTAAAACTCACACAAGGAATTTTAAAGGTGAATTTCCAAAGGCTCAGAGTAATCACCCGAGTGTGGCAGCTAACCTTGGGGGCCCACCCTTCCTAGAATCAGCAAACTCTTCCCCTCTAGAAAGTTACATAAACATTTGAAGGTTTCCTTCTGTCCTTAGTATTCTACTTGTCTGCCTAGTTTATGGTCATTTGGGCTGGAAATCTGGCCAGCTATAATCCCTATCAAGGCATCCTTGGCTGCACAATTTCCCGTGCCTGCTTATTCACGATCTTGTGATTCTCCGGGTCTCTGGGGCCTCTGGGGTCAAGTGCTGCCTCTGAGAGCTGTCAGCAGGGAGGAAAGGACATGTTTCTGTCTCTTCTATCTAAATGGTAGATCTTACTCTGGGCTGACCAGGGCAATCTCTTCTCCATCCCAAGTAAAAGCCTTTTGCTGAGTCTTGGTTGGGCAGAAACCAAGAAAGTTTTGTAGGGTACCTTTCAGGACAACCAGTAGATTTACACAATATATAGCATTGGTCACATAGCCATTTTTTCTCTTTCCTGCTACCACATTCCACTCCTCACCCTCACTCCTCACTCCTGTATCTTGGCAGAATATCTAGTGGAGAGGAATATAAAGCCTGGGCAACTTCATTCCCTCCTTACTTCCATGAAATCACTTAACTCTTGGTCCTTTAACACCCTACACAAACACTGTAAATAAAAAGTACTTTCTTTCCCAAATAGGCAAATGACAGAATTTGTTACTTCTCTCTCCATTTTCAGCTATTGCTGTTTGGGTTACATTGAGAAACTCTGAGATGGAGTTTAGAGTATTAGAATAGTTATTATGGAGTGTTCTTGGAACCACGGCCTGTGAAGGGCTGGAGAAGGGAACAGGATAGGGGAGAAAGAGGTGTTGAGCTGGGGCACAGACCCAACAACCTCTTTGATCATGTACACAGGGATCTCCAGAACTAGGATGGTCCTTCAGGGTTGTCCTGAGCTGGACCAAGATGGCCTGGACTTTATATTACCGTATCAATCAGTCATCAGATGTGGGCATCTGGCACAGGCATAACCTTGCCCTCTGGGCTCTCTGCAGCTGAGGCAACCCTGAAGGGGCTGACAGCTGATTGCCATCATAGCTGGGTTGGAGAAGGCAAGAGGAATGCAAGTGGATCACCTGGCTGCCAGACTTATTCCTCCCTGCCCCATTGTGTAATAGCACCCCTACTATCTGATTATTGATCAGTTGCCCTGCCAAATTAATGACTCCACTTTTTGTTAGCTTGTCCCTTGATACAAGGGGCCTGAATGTCCAGGCTGTAGTCAGAGTTTATAACACAGTGGGATTATTACCATATCCTTTGGCAGAAGTGATTTCCTTTTGAGAACCAGGATCTCTAAACCCACAGAACCCAGAGTTGCAGAGAAGGGATGCACAAATTATTCAAGGAGGTCATTGGTAGAGTTGGGAGATGGGGTCACTTTTGTTCCTACTGCTTAATTCCTAGAGCCATGTGTTTTTCCTATTGAATACCTAGTACCATATGAAGGTCTTTGACTGAAATGGTAAACTTGTCCTGGAGTATAACACCTCATCATGCCAAATCATGGTAAATCATGAGCTGGAAATGTAATTGTGCCTTCAGAAAGATATTCCAGTGTTCCGTTAAGCTACTAGCTTCTGTGTAGGGAAGTATAATATATACCCCAAGGACCCCATAATTATGGGCCAACTACCACATCTGTTTTGCTCCTGGAGTAAGCTCCCCTGATGCAGTGTTATGTGAGGTCCCTGACAGTGGGTCAAACACTCCATAAACCCTTGGATGGTGGTGCTGGTTAAGGCCTTGCTAGCAATACAAGCAAACCAAATGGCAAGTTGGTCCCCACAGAGGGTGATGCCTTAACAGGGAGTTAATGGGGGTCTGGCAGGTTGAACATTCAGCAGCAGCAGTGGCTAAATTAGTCTTGGTAAAGGGGAACCCATGCTTTTGGGCACATGTACAGCCTTCATTCTTATCACTTCCACTACTCTGTTCCTGCATCAGCTTTGGGGTGACAGTGACAGAGGCTGGCTGATGTTAATTGGCTTAGTTGTTTTGGCTGCATGGTTGTTCAGTACCTCTTCTGTGTTGGGGGCTACATGATGGGCTTGATCATATGACAAAGATTTTCATACTGTGTACCCAATCCCACATGTTCATGCATATGCCTCTATCCTGGATTTCCTTGTCCCTGATCTGTTTTTCTCTTTTCGGACCCTAATCAGCCTGCCAATCCATTTGCTATGTCCCATGAGTTCATAGATGTATTCCAAACTTGGGCTATTTCTTCTATACAAAGTTGAGAGTCAGGTGCAAAGAAGTGAGTTTGCACTATCTCTTGGGGTCCTTGCCAGGATTCTAAGTCCCGTATACTGAGAAAATACCTTTTCTTCCCTTATTAGGCAAGTATGTTCCTGGCTTGGTTATGCTGCAAGTTAACTTTAGCTCTTGGTCAAGTGGCCAGAATGGGAGATGGGGCATGATCTTGGGTGAAGGAGCTCTACAGCTGAGGCAGTTCTTGAAGGGTTTGACAGCTATAAGCTACGGCTGACAGCTCTCTAAGCAGTGGGGACAAGTTTTCCATTGAAGAAAGATCTGGACAGTAGAGCTAATCCTTTTAGGGAAGTAACAATCTGAGGAGTTTATGAAGTAATTTGCAGAAAGATCATTCTGTCTTGCTGTGTGACTGCCTGTGCACATTCTGCTTTTTCTGCCCCAGATGATCTTTTCTCTGCTCCTAATTCCTATCTTAGCTAACTGGGACATGTCCTTCAGGTATCATCTTTCAGGGGAAGCCTTTACTGACCAAATTCCCCTTTCACTACCCATAATTCCAAGTCTTGCCTAGCAAGCTTCCTGGCTGGTTAAGTGCTTGATGAGTCCCAGTGGTATTTTTAACATGCTTTTCTGTTAATTGTCTTAGGTTGTCCTGTTTGCTGTAACAGAGTATCATACACTTGGGTGGCTTATAAACAACAGAAATTTATTTCTCACCATTCTGGAGGCTGTAATGTCCAAGATCAAGGCACCAGCTTATTTGGTAAGTGCCCTCTTCCTGGTTGTCTTCTTGCTGTGTCTTCACATGACTAAAAGGGAGAGGAAGCTCTCTAGGGTCTCTTTATACAGGTACTAATCACATTAATGAGGGTTCCACCCTCATGACCTAATCACCTCCCAAGGGCCTCACTTCCAAATACCATCATAGACAGGATTAGCTCTCAATATGTGAACTTTTTGGTGGGGGGAGGGTGGGACACAAACATTTAATCCAGAACCATTAACCATTAACACTTACTACACTGAGATGTGATTGTGTAGTTACCTGCTTATGGTTTCTCTTGAACTATGAATTATTGAGGGTTATAACCTTTGTTTATATATACTTAAGGACTAGAACCAGTATGGTACCTTTATATATCATATTTATTAAATGAATGCAGGCATAAAAAATACCATCATGCATGCCATAGTATAAGGACATAGGATTCAAGTCAAGAGATCCAATGTGAGTCCTTATTTAGTCATAAACACACATAAGGTTATCACCCAATCTCCCTAAATCTTGGTTTCACTTTCCATAAAATGTAGAGAAGTGCCCTTCCTATTTTATATCATTATTATAAAGATATAGGAAGATAAGATATGTGAAACAATTTTGGGTAATACAAGGGCTATACCAATGTCAGGGATTATTAGTTTATCTCTCTACCACTCTTTCTCTACCAGTGACCAGTGTTCACCTACCCAGCTGCCTATAAATGTTTCATTTACTATTGTAACCCCCCAGGTTAATCTTAGCCAGATTCTTTACTTTTGCAAACGTGTATTTGGAACCTGGTGAACAAATGAGCCACTGGAAACTTTACATCTGTAGAATCAGGATTTGCTGATTCACTATTTTGACATTGGAAATTGAAAGAGTGGACACAATTACAAAACCAGTTTTTATGTAGGTTATTTCCAGTGATGATGATAGAAGTACCTACTTTATAGAGTCATTGTGAGGATTAAATAGGTATTTATATGTAAAGCACTTCAAACTGTGCCTGGCATATAGACAGTGCACAGTTTACTATTAGGTATTGCTATTACTATATAAAACTCTGATATGTGTAGACTTAAAAGCTCTGAGTATCCATGGTATCCCATTATCCTTCAACATGACATCACATTTCAAGTACCAGCCCTAAAGAAATCTAGGCCTCAAAAGACAGGAATTTAGTAAACTCTGGTTTTTCTTTCTGTCCTAGTTAACATGGTTTTCTCACTATCCTTGATCTCTGCCTGGGTTCTCCTGCCTCTGTCCTATGGTAGTGCTGATTTTTTCCTCCCTGTAATAGTTCTGGGATGCTCCCCATTTGCCCACTCCCTTTCTATTTTGAGTTGTAGAAGTTTCCCTTGTGACTCTCTTACATTTCCCACCCTATCCCTAATCACCCAGCGTACACTGACATTTTTCAACTTTCCTCCCATACACCACTTGCTTTCAGTACCACTCATTTGACCTTGAACACTTCTCTGAATTGTAAGCCCTGTTTTTTTATACAAGCTTTGTCAACAGGCAATAAGGATGGGTAGGGGTGATGTCTTGTACTTCATTGCATTTTCCCATAGTCTTTTACCAATAAATATTCTTGGTTTATTTCAATTTGGCTTTGGAGGACTCTCTGTTTGTAGAGAAGCAGTGAGAGAGTTTCGTCTATAGATACTCTCAGCCAGATAGTGTGGGAGCAGTTGAGATAGCTATTAGGGAGAAGGGGGTGGAGGTAACAATAATTAGGGATGGGATGAGTCTAAAGCATTGCAATGTTCATGTCCATGAAATTAGTTTATAAACTAAAGTGGAGAATGGAGAAGGTGGGTCTTCATTGGCTTTTGTTGTGAGCCAGCCACATACAGGTAGAAAAATCAACTTAACAAATACAGTGAGTTGCTTCTTAGGTGTTAGGGATTAGTTTCCCTCTTGCTGCTCAAAATGTTGCTCATGAACCTCTAACACCAGCCATTCCGGGGAGCATGTTAAAATGAAGAATCAGTGCAGAATCTTATTGCAGACCTGCTGTATCAGAATCAGTATTTCAACAAGATAACCAAGTGATTCTTATGCAAACTGAATGTTAAGAAGCACTGAACTCTAGAGTTGAACATTTAATATTTCTGTAGCTAGGGTGCTTCCTAAACCAATTAAATGTGAATCTGTAGTTGGGAACCAGGATCAGGATTTTTTAAAACTCTTTAAGTGATTCTAGAGTATGTGAAAGTTGAGAACTACTAATGTGTGATGATTTCTGGTTTCATAAATATTTAGTAAGGGGACAGATATGAGTCTGTTTACCTTCCTTTCTTTTTTTAAAACTATATGCCAAATGCACATTAGGCAAATTGACAGAACTTGTTCATAAAGCTCCATTTATGGCAAGACTATGTTTTCCTCTGTCATGTACAGATTCCATAGATTTAGCCTAATGCCTAGCCATAGCCTTTATGGGCTGAGTGTCCCTTAGCCTGTTGGCTGTTGTACTGGGGCCACTCCCATAAGTAGAACCAGACAAATCCTGCCAAAGCACACAACAAAGGACCCGTCATTGGAATAGGATCTGGGGCTTGGATTAGATCAGGAAAGTTACTACCCTAGTGATCTACAGTAGAACAAGGCTTCAATTTGAGTGTCAAGTTGTGTCTAGAGATGAGAGCTGAATGTTAGCGTTAGACAATATATCCAAAGAACAAGTGTTTGGGCTAAAATTCCAAAGTGAATCAAGAGTCTGGAAGCCAGTAGAATACAATACCAGTATCAGTGTCCAGGGGTATCCAGGACATTGGCCATGAATCAGCCTGGCTTGTCTTGACCTTGGTCATTAGTTGGCCAGTTAAAGGCATACATTTTGTGAACAAAATTAACAGTTATTGAAGTTCTGAGATCCTCTGACCTACTTCAATTAGTACCTATTCTTTGGTGCTGGGGAAATCTATTCCTTATGATAATGGTCACCTACAGTGAATTTTCAAATTTTCTTATTGTAAATATGGTGTATTCTGAAAATGCAAGACTTTGGTGATGGGAGATAAGAATGTCTGTGGAACTTCAAAGGATCCAGATGGCCATTGTTTCATGGCACCAGTGATAATGTATGATTAAAGAAAACTGCTTTGAAAAGTTAAGTGGTCATGAATTGTTTGTGATTGATGCTGGTTTATAAAGGGGTTGGTCTGGGAGGAGATCCTCTCATTTTCCTTAGGTGTAGAAACATATTTCCCTTCATAAGTCTAGAACATACAAGGAACATCAAGGCATTTCTGGGTTGGTAGGACTAAAAGTTATCTTGTGGCTGCCTTCACACCAAAAAAACACCATAAACATAATAAGTGATTGTTTCTCTAAGGCTGTGGCATCTTAAAAAGCTGCAAAGAACCAGAGTGATATAGAATGACAGTGTTTTCCAGTCATTTATTGGTGATGGCATATACATTTCTACATATTTCCTGTATCAAGGTATTATGTGGTGATTCTAAGAGCCATAAAGGAGCTCAGTAGTATGGAAACACTGGAATGAAAATGAATTTCTCTTTCTTAAGGCACATATAGAGTCATAAGCACTATCTCTGCTTCACCACTACATTTGCAAAATAATACATTTTCCCATTGGTAGATAATCAAAGGGAACATATGAGAGAATTTAATTTCATAATTCTTCCCATAAAGTAGAATAGTAAACTCATTATAAAACTGGCACCCAAAGGTTGTGACATAGAATTCAGATAATTAGGGTCCTTAAAAATAAATAACTCAAAACTAGTGGAAAAAATATGGCAGTGTGAGAAGTGAGACAGAAACCTCCTCCCAAAATTATATAACACACAAAACTACAGCAGATACAACTAATCCTGAAAAAGCAACCTGAAGACTGAAGAACAGACTTCCTATATCTGAGAAAGAAGAGAAGACTGCACAGAAAAGGGTAAAGTGACAAAGCTGCAGTCCAGTGAGACCTAAGACCTCCCCAAGCCCAGCTGACAGGTGGGAGGAAGAGGAGTAGAGCAGGGACGGAGTAGAAGCCCTGGACTGTAGAACACCCAGCCCTGGAAATCTGCTCCTGGAACTTGAACCTACATTACATGGTGCTCTGGAGATTAGTGGGGTTGGAAAGCAAAGATGGGCAGAATACTCAGAGAGATTGAAGTTCCAGCTGTTTGTGGAGAACAGGTACACACAATTGGCCACCTGGGACAAAAGAAAGGCAGGCAGTTTGAAAGACTACTCAGTAGTGACAAACGTGCTAAAGGGGCCAAAAATTACATAGAACTCTCTGCTTAGGAGAAAGGGAAGATGGACTAAACCTTCCTGGAATACTCAGCCCAGCAGCCCAGGTTGGGAATTATCAGGAGCTTCAAATGCTCCATCCCCTGGCTGGCAATGCAGCCTCAAGGCTCCCCACTGTGGTATATAGCCTGCCACCCCTTCCTCCTGGCAGCATCACATCCTGCTCATGTGCCACCCTGCCATCATGCCAGGCCAGCAGGAGGGTGGCCCTGGCCATGGCAGCTACAGGGGCATAGCACAGAGGCTCCTCCCTGCTTGCATAGTCCACTGGAACTGGCAATCGAGGGAGGTGTTAACAGCTGGGAAGACAGGAAACCCTGCCAGAAGAGCTCTTTCCTCCTGGCAGGTGCCATTTCCACTCATCTGTGACCCCCGCCATTGCTGCAGATGCATGGCAGCTCCAGAGAGTATTTTCCCATGTGCAAGCAACTGATGGCCCACACATCTCACTTTACCAGCAAGACATAAAGGCACCAACCCACTGCTCACCAACAGCTGGGGCTCCCTCATAGGAAATTGAGCTTCTGGGCACTAGAGGGCACCGCCTACACAAAGTTATTATTCCAAATAGGAAACACTAAAAAAATGAAATGGTGAAGGAATTTGGTCCAAACAAAATTGGAAGAAAAAAACACCAGCAGAAGGGCTTAGTGAAACTGAAATCACCAATTTTCTTTATAAAGATTTTAAAATAAGTCATAAACATGTTCATG